CAGCACGTCACCTCCGTGGGTTTCCTGGTGATTGTTTAGGCACCGTGTCCTTGCTGAGGTCACGGCGGGAGCGAGGGCTCGGGAGAGGGAAGCTCCAGTCCCGACTGAGTTCCAGAGACGCGTCTGTCCTGGATCTTGTCCTAACGCTTGTTAGACCGTCTCCGCCTCCCGCTCTCCTGCGGAGCCGGTCAGGGGGCCGGGGCTCCGGCCGCTCTCGCCGCTGAATTGCAGTCCCGGTCACCGGGCTGGTCTCCGACCTCCCGGCCGGACCGCCTCTCCCGCCCGGTCCCTGGAGCCCTCGGGGTTCCTGCTTCCGGAGAATCGCGTGCATCACACACAGCCTGACCTCTCCCTCCAGGCGGCCCAGCAGCTGCGCGCGAAGGCCGAGGCGCTGATCCGGTGCCTGGAAACCATCTTTGCCGAGTGGAGAACCGTAAGCGTGGGCTCCGTGGCCTCTCTGTGTCACTGTCGTGTGTGTCGTCCCCCGGGTTCCCGTCGGTCACGCCGATTTCCGTTCCGACCCTTTGCCGGGTGACCCCACGCTGGCGCGTCGCCCGGTGTGGTGATGTCAGCTCCGTGGCGGGTGAGCGTGGTGTGGACGTGGGCCCGCAGGCGCGAGCTCTGTGTCCGGCCGCCCTGGGCTCAGCTTTGCTTGGACAGTCGTTATGGGCTGTAAACCTGTGTTTCCCGATCCGTGTGCTCGGAGGCGAAGGCACAGGGGAGCCAGGCAGAGTATGTTACTCGTGTGTCACGCGTGAGCAGAAATATATAAACGAGGCATGTTCACGCCACGGTGAATGGAGAGCATAAACCAGGTGTACGTATAATCAGTGTGTGAAAAGAGAGACGTGTTTGTGGCTTGACATTTTTTATTTAAATAAAACAAAATTAAACTCTTAACGATTTTATACTTTCACCTTTCGTGAGGTTGGGTGGCAGTGGTTCTATTGTTTTATTCCGTTTTCCTGTAACAGGGCGATTGCCTTGGGTTTAAAATGAGATGAGAATTCTTCCTCCTCCGGGAGCGGCACTGTTCTCACCGGGTTGGTCTTGCTGGGGGGGAGGAAACAGGGCCCGTCCCTGTTCTCACCAACATGGGCTTCATTCCCACAGGAAAGCTCCCGCACGCGAGCGCAGGGAGAACCTTCCGGAGGCGGAGCCCCAAGGGAGATGGCTGATCGCGCCCCGGAAATGCTGAATTTAACGCGCTGCTTGGAGCAAACCATTGAAGCCGTCGTTTCTGCCCTGAGAGGTATGTGCTCCGACGGGAGGGGCAGTTCTCGTCGGGATCTCGTAGTTAAAGGGGCTGCGGCACCTCCTCACTCCTCGTCTGACTTGTTAACCACACCCCCCAAATGCTGCTTCTCGACATTAATCACCGACATGGGAACCGTGTGACTGGTCCCCACTCAACATCCAAGTGCTTCCGCCTGCAAAGCTCAGTCCTTACAAACACCCCTCCTGCCCTAGGCGGCCGATGTGGCTCAGTGGATAGAGCGTCGGCCTGCGGACTGAAGGGTCCCGGGTTCGATTCCGGTCAAGGGCACATGCCTGGGTGTGGGCTCCATCCCCAGTGGGGGTGTGCAGGAGGCAGCTGATCCATGATTCTCTCTCATCATGGGTGTTTGTCTCTCCCTCTCCCTTCCTCTCTGACATCAATAAAAATATATTTAAGAAAAAAAACACAAAAACCCACCTGCTTCTTGAGCAGTCGAGCTGATCATGTCGACCGGTTAGAATGGTCACGATGGGGCCACAGGGTTGGTGACTCTCTCCTCTCCTGCCCAGGACGCCGCGGCGACGGGGGCGCCCTCAGGACCTGCGTGGAGAGGGTCTGCGTCTTGGCCGGGGGCGGCGCCACCGACAGCTGTGCCCAGAGCCGTGGGGACCTGACATCGGCGGCCAAGTCCCTCCTCCTCTGCTTCGAGGCCGAAGACAGGCCCGACCTGTCGGAACCCTGGGACGCGTGTCCTCAGAACAGCAGGACCGGCCCCGCCGCGGGGAGAGGCGTCTATGCGCTGCCCTCCCGGCCCCCGCGGAGCTCAGGGGAGCGCGCGCCCAGCGGGACCCAGTGGGTGTGAAGGCGAAGGCCGTGCAGAGGGCGGGGGCGGGCCGTTCGCTCACGCGGGAGAAGGTAGGAAGCAAGACGTTGGCGTGAATATCTCCCAGAAACCCACGCCGGGTGCTGGCCTCGCTGGGCTGGACGGGCGGGCCCGATGGGCTGTGGTTCCGGGGCCGGCGGCCTGGGAAGTGACGGGCGCCGACGGACACGCTGGGACGTGGTGAACAGCTGAGCCCAGGAGCAGCCTCGTCGCCTCGAGCTCTCCCTGCGTCTCAGACGCCGGTACCTGTCTGCTTGCCTGTGAGTCTGTCCGAGACGGCGATGCTTCTGACGAGCGGAGACCCGAGCGACCGCTACCCTCTCTCCGGCGAGGGCGGTGGGAAGTTGCCGGCGCGGGTTTACCGGCGGCGGAGCCTGGGCTCCTCGGTCTCCGCTCTCCTCCGAGGGCGGGCGTGCCACCTGCTCCAGGGCGTCCTCCGGTGTCTGTCCAGATCGCAGCCGGCGACGAGAGTGACCCGCTGTCAGCTTCCTGTGCCCGTCCCAGCGCGGGGCCGAGTGACTCATCCCAGACCCACGGGCCGAGCGCAGAACCGGCTCAGCTCCCGGGGGTCCTGCTGGTTCTGGGGCAGGTGTCACGGGAACGTTTGCTCGGGATCCGGTGGAGATGGAGGGTCCATGTGCCTTTTCACAGTTTACAAAACACCTTCGTGTCCACCATCAAGTGACAGGCTGCTCCCCCGGGCTCTCCCGTAAGGGACCCCGTCTGACCTTCTGCGCTTCAGCGCGTGCGCGGTCGCAGAGGCCGCCTGGGACCCCGTGGTGACACTGAGCGGCAGGTGCCCCGTGCCGGCTGGCTGCCCTCGGGAACGGGCCTCGCCCCTGAGCGTCCCATTCCCTCATCGGGGCAGCTGGTGAGCGCGCTGGCCACGCCGTCACCACGTGTGGAGGCCTCGCGTGGCGTCTCCGGGTGCTTTGAGGTGGTGCCCGGCAGCGAATCTGCTTCATTTCTTATATTTAACTCTTGGCGTTTGGGCTGCGCCCTCCTTGACGCCCTGTGTGTGTGTTTATAGGCAGTGCCCTGCCGGGTGCCCCTCGGGCTCTGTCCCCGTGAGGACTTTTCCGGAAGCTTCTACCTGTTTGGCGAACTTGCTAGAGCACCGGTGATGTGGTTTTTAACTTCACGTTCAGGATTTAACCTTTACCTTCTGCTGCCTCACGACGTCAGTGGTCAGAAGCCACTTGGGGTCTCTTGTAAATTGCTGTGTATTTACGTATTTATACTCGAAATAAATTGCTATGCAGTGTGTGAATGCGCGGGGGGAAAGGTACATTTTTACTGGAATGCATGTGCCCAATAAACGTTACAAAGAGAACTCTTACCACA